GGAGGCTTTGCTCAGTCAAATCAGAGCTGTGAGCATGTTAGCATGTCACCATGCTAACATGCTCACAGTCAATGCTAACCTGTTGATTAAGCAGGTACACTGTTTCACCAGCTTAGTTTAGTGGGTTAACATGCTAACAGTTCCAGTATTTCCAAAAAGTCCACAAGTGTGGTCACAAATGAAAGCTTTAGACAACTGAACATGTTGACCTCATAATAGCATCAGATACTTGTCATTGGTCACTTTAGACTCTGGTAATCTGTGAGAAATGTTTCACTGTTTTCTTTCAAAAGAAATGTAACCTGTAATTAAAAAAGTTGTATCCCTGATAAGTACTGATGATCAAAGGGCATTACAGGTAATGGCCAATCTTTGTTGCAGCACATCATTTCATTTCCATTTTGGAGACATAATCATTTGTTTTGACATGAATCTACCCCTTTTAAGATACAGATGAGGGTTTCCCCTTGGGATAATTAAAAATGTGTTTACCTTTGTCACTGTTTCTCCTCTGGAAGCCAAAGCTTGTTCCCAATGACTTTATGACTAAGGTTGTGTCCCTTGATTTGACATGGGTGCCTTTTAATTCCTTTAATGGGAAAGACAGCGTGAAGAGGAGTGGTTTGAATCAACAGTGTAGGGTGAGGCCTCAAACAATGTGTCTGTAGGACATCTATAGCTCTAAGCTCTACTCTCTATTAAGTCTCTACCTTCATACTGTGCATGGGGCACATTACTCCCTCCTGCTTTTTAACATTGGTCTATTCTCCCCCTCTGCAGCATGTGACCTGACTGGTGGCGTGGTGGGCTTGTGACCCTGTGTGATGCTTACTGTGAATAAAAAGTAAGGATGAAACCTAAACAACTTGTCATGCTGAGCTTTCAATCACTGCTGTTGCATTAAATGCCTGGGCATTCAGGGAAAGGTGCCCTGAAGCAATGCACTACAGGGGGAAAAGGCAATCTAAAAAACACAGCCTACAAAGATGCACCAGTAAATCAAATGGGGAAGCTGGCCTAAAATCCTAAATTAGATGGGGGGAGCACTTTTTGTCCACTTTTGTCCACTCATTTTGTGTGTGTACTGGACCGCACTCAAATAGGTTTCCTTCCTCTGCAGCTACCCCTCACCGAGGGTGGAGAGGTGGGGCAGGGTCGGCAGGGACCTTCAGAGATTCCCTTGTGCGTTGGACTTGAAAGTTTCTGTCTCTGTGAACTTTACATCAAACAGTCATGGGCTGCTGTTGGCTCTTTGAAGTGGCTGAGGGGGGTATCTGAGCTGAGTACGGGGCCTCTGCCTCGACATGTTCCGGTTCAAAACGGACTCCGCAGCAGTGTAAAAACAGCTCAGCTAAAGGTCTACTGAGAATGGCACAAGATCAAGGCTAAGGACCTATCTTTCAGTTGCCATTCCTGTCACATAATGGAGCATGTATATACTCACTACAGTGTTATCCTACTCATAGGTATTGAAGTTCCCTCACTCACTACAGTACGTTTATGTTTTTGTTGTGTATTTCTTTTACTTGAAACCTATCTTGGGTTTGATGTCTTTCAGTCTAAAAATAATCAAAAAAGCAAACACTCTATGTCAACTATATTTGCTGATAATCTAGCCACTTTACTGCATCTATTTCTACTCCTGTACGGCAACTAGTAAAATGTCAGTAACTTGAAGGCTTGTTCTTTCAGTATTTAACTTAAGTGAGCAGGTTGCATAGTGAGGCTTTACAGCACATTGTTGATTTAGGTTTAAACTGAAAAAATGTGTAATGTGTTTTCCTCCTCTGTTTTCTTGCTGCTCTGCTTTGACTCCCATAGTTTTGTGATGGCCGGAAATATGTTATGGTTGCTAAAGTAACACCTACGGCTAGACTGACCCAAGACTGGGTGCTTGGAGAAATAGGGGAGTGGTGTTTACAACCCTTAACATAATGTGTGCCAGAATCTAGTGTTGTTGCACTTGCATTATGTTTGGCTTTGTGAGCAAAGATGTCGACTGCCTATTTAATTATTAATAAGTAATGTAGCCTAATTACAGTAACTGCACTTGAACTGTCAATATTTAAATGGACAGGGGTGTATGAATGAATTGCACTCTTAAACTGTATAAATAAATACTGATTACTACATGATGATTTAGGTTTGATTTGTAAAGATGCCTGCTTCATAATAATTGTAAACAGGTTATGAGTTGAGCCTCTTTCAGTAATTTCTCTATCTGCAATAAAGAGTGTTGGTGGCTTTACTACCAAATGTAACTTCTAATGTTTTGCCTTCAAAACAATCTGGTCTGAATTGTGTCCACTCATGCTACTAAAGTCATGCAGGTCACACCCTATATTGCTACTTTCACTTTCTATTACTGGGTTCTTGCTCCAAATAGGCCTACTTCAAGGAAAATGTCTTTGATTATAATATAGCCTACCTATTGTACTATATCAATAAAACATCCAACACAATGATTATGAGTAATATCTATAACGGTTTAATGCAGCTTTTTTTTTTACATCAAAATCAACTTTTGAGCATCATTTCGGATTTACTAATGTAGATTTTAACATCAGTTACTTACTATAAGTACAATATCAGTACAGTAACAGTATAGTAACACCACACATACTATGTTGCTGTTTCATATGCATTGCTTTCTTATATCACAATTACTTCTGCTATAACACCATCATTACATTTTAGGATCAGATTGTGTATAAGGATTTATTTAGTATTTATAATATCTCGTTGGCATTTGAATGTGCATATTCATTTGTTTTCTTATTTACTGCATAGATATAACAGAAATGGCTCCACTGACGGGCACAAGGACCATGCAGACTCCTCAGACCGAGGGGGGCCGGCTCTCGTGTTCCCATGCACCACCATCTACTGACATTGGCCACTGCTCCACATTTAACACCCCGCATTCATAAAAAAAAAAGAAAAGAGGAACCATCTGACAAGAGCAGCATCCACTGGTAGCTGCCTCACTGTGTATTGCGCTCAGCACGTCGCCAGAACAGAAGCCAGACAACTAAAAGAGGGGAAAATGGCCAAAAGTGAGATGCAAAGAGGAAGTTTGAAGAGTGAGGAGTTCTTTTTTGATTCCGAGGCGTCTCTATTGGATCAGCAAGATTTTGAGATGTCTAATTGCCCTTTCAATGACGTCTTCAACTCCAAAGACTCCCACATGAAGCAGATCAACACTTTTCTGAAAAACGTCCAAGTTTTGCTGGAGGCTGCTAGGTTTCTTGAGAGCTCCGACAGGAAGGACGGAAGTGAGTTTATATGCTGCGTTGTGATCCTTGTCATTTGTCTCTGCATTTCAGGAAAACAAGACTTCATTGTCAATAGACTCAGACAACAAAGGGCTGAGTTCATTCAACTAAGCACCACTGCCTGCTATAAGCAGAGCCTGCACCAGACTAATATGATTAATGTACGAATATACCTTTTGCATTTATAGGAGAGTATAAACATACTTTTAGTGTCTTCTGTACTGTTTGTATCTACATCCTCTGCATGTGTTGGGCACTGTGCATCCCGTTGAGCCTGCACAACTCTGTCTCAACCCAGAAATGTGTTATTTCTCCCTACAGCATATAAAGCAATATGACACAATGATTGGTTGTGTGGGTGTGCATGCTGGCTACCACTCCGATATGATAAATCTGACCACATTGCAGCGCCCTCCAACTCAGTTAAGGATGATGTCATTGTGCCCCCGCAGACTTGATCGAAAAAAACCTCAACTTCATAGATAAAGCAATTTAAGTACACAACTGAATAGTGAATTAGACATAGAAACATAGAAAGTGTGTCGCCTGGCCGTTTAATGTTATGTTTATAACTTCTAGCCCATGCAAAGGTAGCTCGATATAAGGTTGATTGCAATTGCCCTCTCAATTTGCAAATACTTCCTTGCCTTATGTATAATTCAATGCCAGGGCATTTGTAATAAATGTAATATTAAAAACGAATTTTTAAAAATTAATTATTTATGATGTCCTCGTTTCCTTTTAACAAGTCATGATACAAGAAAGATGGGAAAAGATACATTTCCTTGTGCGTCCTATCCTTTTGTGCAGAAAAGCCGAGCAAACCGGCTGATGCGGGTTGCATACAACTATTTAGTATTATATCCTACGATTATAAGCTAACGTGGGAATGTTACAGGAGCAGATCTCAGCGGCACAGCTCTTTTCTCTCGGTTGTTTGCTTCCTGCTATTTGGGGGCGTGTGGCACTGGTTTCCACATGGCGCAAAGCTTCTCCGCGGTTGGTCAGGTGCGAGTTCAACCCTCGACGCCTGTCAAAGCCGTCCGCCAATCAGATGCCCGGTAGGTATCGACGTCATGTGTTGCTGGGCCCGGCTTCAGCCGGCAAGAACACCCCCATGGCCCCGTTGGATGATGGGATTTGTAGGGCTTTTTTCGCAGGAGAGAGGAGGTTGGGAAGAATGCATGATGCATGAGAGGAATAAATGACACAAAATGAATAGGCTATTTGTGTTTAGTCATTAACACATCAAACAGCCGCTTTAATCAAACCATGAATGATTGATGGCATAAATTACATCCTTTGTTGTTGGGTGTTTTTACATACAGCGGTCATGGGCTATTTATCACAAGCCTTTTGATTTAGAACATTTAGAATTTAGAATAAATTATAATTGAATAGAAACTAAATAAAAAATATGTGTTCTTCTTGTCGTCACTGACAGAAACATCCCCGATACCCTTTGCAGGAATAAAATAACCACATTCTGGTGACCTGTGGAGTGTAGCACTGTCCCACAGAATATTTAGTCTGACCACCATAGTTACAGTAAAACTATAAATTAATAAAGGACGTTGTTTTTACTTGACACATAGCAGTAAATTAATGCTAAAATGTGTCAATGATGAATATTGTGCACGTTTGTCAGACTCAATTTCCCGGCATGCATTGCGGTGGACCGGCCTCCCTCAGCACGGTCCCCGCCTCTCAGCTGTGCAGCTAGGTAAACAAACAGGAGAGGAGAGGAAACGAGCAGCAGCAAGCACTTTGGTGGCTTTGGGCTCCCTCGGGGAAATTTTATATAATTTATATCCGTTTTTGTAACAATTTAATACCGTGTTTCCTAGAGACTTTTAATACTTTGATACACTGGTTTTGACATTTTTTGACACGACACCTGGCAAGGATTGGTTGTAGCTTGCCAGCTTGGAAACACTGGATTTCCCCCCCTCTCTTCTTTCGACAAAGCTGCCGATGAGCCAGCGAAGACACAGAAAAAGATAATAACACGACGTGTTTTAAAAAAAAATAACACTCAGTGTAGTAATAACCGATGCACTGTCTTCCCTGGGTGTAAAAGCAATCTGCTGTTGGTGCTATTTGCGAAGCTAACGTTACGTTAACCTGAAGAGCTAACGTCAACGGCAGCCAGGAGAGAATGACTGCTATCCAATTAATAAATATTCAACGGTTATTGGAAGCTGCCGAATATATAGAGAGGAGAGATAGAGGTAAATGTTCAAATGTGTGTGCGAAGCTGAGATGTATCAGTAAACAGTATCAACAGTTGCTATGTTCAGTGGTTTTGAACTACTTTACGCCTTTACTTGTACACTAAACACTTAAAGAATAAGCAGATGTCATTACAAACGTGTTCCCATTCAGTTCTGAAGGATTGTTGCACGTGTATGGTCGAGAAAAAGAGTCAAACTCACCCTGTTAACCACCCATTTACTTTCAACAGAGTGTGAACACGGATATGCTTCGACATTTCCATCAAATGAGGACACAAACTACCAGAGGCAAAGGAAATTTCGAAACAAGAAGTTCAGCAATAACCACAATAGGTAAGAAACTGCTCTCTCGTCATGTGAATCCTGGTCAATTGTGGGCATTGATAACACTGCATATATTGGACTTACTTATACATGTTCATAATGTATGTGATGTACTGGGAAGTGTTACAGACAGCATGTGATGATACACTCGCTGCCAATCGCAACGTTTGGTAAACAATCGGGCTGTCAGCACCGGCTGCCTTGTCACGCTCCAGAAAATACTATTTTTGAATAAAAAAGTTAGCATGGATTTTTTTCAAACTTGTAAAACGTGTTTAGTTTAATATAAAGGTGCACACATGACCGTGTACACTGTTGTTTAACTGGCTTGGGAAAGGGGGAGCATCAACGGCTCTGCTAGCTTTTCATCAGCTGATTGTCAAACGGACTGCAGTGGTGCTAGGGTTAGGGACCGTGGTGAAAGTGACAGCTTAAAAACGAAAAGAAAGTAATATTTAATCTTTTGCACTCGTCTCACACATGGTTTAAAAACACAGAGGCTATTGCTTTATTGTATTTCAGCTATTATTTTACGTTTTGGTGGTAGTCATGCTAATTTTATCCTATGGGATATGTGTTCTACACTGTGAGAAGAGAGGGGTAGTTTTGGCTTCTGCCCTAAGGAGAAAAGGCTATTTATGGCTGGTGTTGTTTGCAGACCTCCAAAGGTCAATACGTAGAGCCTTTTTCAGGATTAATGATGTCAATCAGTTTATGCAGTTTCACCATTATTTACACCTTTATCCTATCAATAAATGCATGTTTGCACCATTTATATTGTCCTCTTTTGTATGCATCATCAATCATACACAACATCAAGCTGTTTACGGGTATTGGAGCATATGTTTTAGGGCTGCTCGATTATGGCAAAAATCATAATCTCGATTATTTGGGTCAATAATTGATATCACGATTATTAAAAACGAAAAATGTGAACAGTATGTTTTTAACAGTTGATTACCCTGAACTTTAAGTATAATTCAACTGAAAAACCAATAAAAAATATTAAAAAAAAAATTAAAAAAAATCGTTTTATTTAGATTATGTTGTTTTCATAATCGTTGCAAGCCAAAATCGTAATTGCGATTAAAATACGATTAATTGAGCAGCCCTAATATGTTTAATGGTCTATTCTGTTGTGTATGTAACACCGTCTGATAATCACATCATCAACCTGAGCTCTTTTCAAGCACAATACTCTCACTGGCTATGGTTACTTTCACTTAGTATTAGGAGAAGCAGGCGAAACACAAGGTTAAGACTCAATCGTATTGTGTTTTTTCTTAGTGCTAGGCTGCTTACATTAATCTGTCCATTGACAGTCATACATCAAACGCAAGCTCCATGCTCCCTCTGTCTCTCTCTGAGCCTTTTAATATTAATGTAAGAGCGGGCCACAAACAGGAACTGCGCATTACTCATCATGAGCGCAGAACGCAGCCTAGTTCTGCATGGCAACAGTCATCATCAGATATAGGCCGTTTTCATAAAGCCTCCAAGAAGTAGCTCCTAATTTGGAAATTCTACAGAATAATGATGTTTTGAAGCAAAATCATCTTGAATGCAAAATAAATTCCTCTGAGAGCTACATGTATAAGCTTTTCACAAAGCATCTTTACCCTCAATATAGCCTATAAGGTGAACAACTCTAAAGGAGAATGAGGTGCATGGTAAGAAGGATTCTCATAAACACGAGAGAAAATGGCACCAAAAAGCATGGAGAAAAGGAGATCTTCTTAAATGGCCTGCAACAGGAAGTCAGAACAGATATTCAGAAGCCTTTGCAGGAATGATGTTCCCTACAGAGAAACATTCACAACTCACTCAGTGAGGTAACACCATTTAGCATTTAACACCATTTCTCAGCCTCGTGTTGTGATACCGTTTTTTTTGTATAATTCCCACTGGAATAGCACATCTTGCGTACCAACAAAATAACATTATTTGTATATCCCCAGTGCTGTAAGGGTCACTGATGGGGCCCCTGTCTGCGTTATTTGTCGTCCACGAAAGTCCTATTTATACAGTACAAGCTGAAAAAGAGAAGTGTTGTTACAGTTGTGAAAAATGTCCTCACCTTGCAATTCCTTATTACAATTTCCAGATAAGCCAGAGAGTTTTTTTTAGCAAGATCTACTTACATTTACATTATGTGTGCGGCGTGGCGTGCGCTCTGAGTGATAATAAGAGATCCTCGACCAATGGTGCGCCTAAATGAGATCATACATTATCTAAACCTCATTCATATAAATCTTCTTTTTCATTCCTTGTTCAGTTACTGCCATGTCATTCTGAAATTAATTCTTTGAAATATGATAACATAATGATTCAATTAACTGTACAGTACATTTGGTTTGACCTGCTGCTCCAGTACAGTAGCTACCTTCTCAGTAGCATGTGGAGGCTTAAAGCGATGGGCTTATCTGACTCTGTCCTCTCCTGCCTACCGTTTATAGCAGGGTCGCTTTATCTCATTGACCCACTCTCTGTGTGCATATACTCGCGCACAGACTCACACATATACGCGTGTACAGAAGAGGTATGCTGCAGTTGTGTGGCTTTGAGACATTTTATAATCTGTATTGCATTGTTGTTGAGCTCCAGACACAGAGATACTGTATCTGATTCAGAAGACAGGGAAGTAGTTTGTGATGATAAAAGCCAATGGGAATTCAAGCTGTCTGAGATTGATCTCTCCAAATGAGAGGCCATAAGATGTGGTGTGCCAGGCTGACCTAAGGCGTATCTACTTTGCAGATTAACAGACAATGTAATTGACACCAGCATTGCTCTCAGATAGACTTCCCATTTCTAAAGTTATTATCTATGGGAGAAATAATTGAGGCTTTCGCAAAACGGTCTTCTTCACTGTCTGATTAACACAAGCTTTTCCAATTTAAATGTTTTTACCATCAATTGTATTGCTAAGGACGATGCTTGATGCGGCCACAATAGTAACAGTCCCCATAAATACATTTTCCCTTCCTTCTTAAAGAGTGGTAATCAGCCCAAAAACATGACATAATTGCACACTACACTGAATTAGATTCTGGTGAAATGCTTTGAGTTTTGGAGGAGATTACCAACCAGGATGATGGTTTCCAAGCAACACAGGCCCAGTGTGAGCACGGTGACAGCTGATGACGCAAATTATAGACTCCGAAGTATTCATCTTCTGTTAGCAAAACTATCGCTCTGACTCACAGTTACAGAAAGCAGTGGACTCTTTGCCATTAAAAAGTAATTACATATTCGCGTAAAAAGCCTTCACCGAACACAAGGCTGTGACTAATAATCTTCCCTACATAGAAATCATTTTGAAACTCTTTCTTAGATAACATTTATGAGGGTAGTAGTGGCCAAGCATTAGAGAGCAAGCTGATTTTAGAGCAGTTTTGTGATTTCTATGTTTGACAGGTTAGCCGATAGAGAGCGCAGTCATGCATGATTACTAGGTTATAGAATATGTAAGCTGTCAAGACTCAAGCATGTGTGTGTGTGTGTGTGTGTGTTGGCATGAAAGTGCCAGAAAGTGGCCGGGGCCAGCTTACATGTGAGCCCTGTGTTTTGCTGTGATAGCATCCACTCAACTGGCCATACTTTGTCATGTTAAATCAAATATACCTCCACAGTTGACTTAACATCCAGTCTTGCATACCCAACTACATGAAATGAATTAGAAACATGCAGTGTTTTTTTATTAGTGTAAATAATTCAACCGCTGAGGCAGTGCTAGTTTTTATACAGTGAACTATCGCCTTGAAGTGGTCCATCTGTCTTATGCCTCTTCTCTTCTTATCTCCTGTTTTCTCCAGATTTCCTGTTTCCGTATAAAAAAGACAGCGGTTTTGTCAGCTCAGTATTAAAAGGAAAATATAAGAGGAAAGCGTATTGCAGTATTGATAACCCGGAATATAGAGGAGTGCTGCGTACATGACTCAGGAGAGCCCAATAACCCCACCCCCACCTAAAACCTGTCCCCCTTTAGGCGAGGTGGAGTGCAGTTTGTAGGATGGGAACTTGGCCATTTAAGCATCAGGAGGAGGGCTTCAGTATGTTGCCACACAAAGACACTCTTAGGAAACAGCTGATTCACTTTACATTATTAACAGAGCACTGAACCCTCACTGCTGTGTGTGTGCGCATGTGTGTGTGGGTGCATGCTAGTACAGCAGCACATGCATGCACGCACCTACATGCACAGTAGTGGCTGCAGTGTCACACTCCCACAGAGCTTTGCCGTGCATTATTGAGGAAGAGGCCGTATAATGCCACAGTGAGGGCCCGCCTGTCACATTTACGTCTGTTGGTGTAAAGGCTCCAATAGAATGGGCCTAGAGTTGCTCTCTTTTGGGACTCAATAATACATTCATGAGTCAAATTCCACTGAGTATTTCATTGTGCTAATCTTGGCTCCTGGTTGTCTAGCTCATTTAGTTATTATCTCTATTCTTTGCTTTATTTCCTTGAACGGAGTGCATTGCCACGAGGAACAGATACTGTAGGGTTGTGCTTTGCATGTTGAGCAAGCAAAAATCTACCTGTGCTCTTTATTTAAATTCTGTTTTCTGTCTCCTCAGGTCCACACACAATGAGCTGGAGAAGAATAGGTGAGTTGGCATTACATTTCCAAACATTTCAACCTTTAAATGATAGGTCACACCTGAACACACCCTGCCCTGACATGTGAGAGAGTCCATCATGTCCTACTTTCATTTTGCCCTTCCAACTTTTTGACATCTTCAAAAAATCACTTCCTCTTCAATCAGAAGTAAGGGGAGATTTAGTTGTGTTCAGTTAAAGAAATTCTCCCCCCCCTCTCATACACACACCAAAAGTCATGCATCAGTTTGGTTAACGGGCTAAGGGCTTAGAGTTACAGGAACACGCAAGGTTGCATGCAGGCAGAAGTCAAAAGTTCAGAACTTGTTTTGATGAAAATACATTTTTTCCTTCGTGTACGTGGAAGTGGCAACAATGTCAGCCAAACAAGGAGTCCTTTCAGTAGCTTTCCAGCAGCTTTCCAGCCCAATCACAGTTCTATTCTGAGTTATAGTTCTGCATTCAAGATAGTATCTACAGCAAAATATATGTGGGGTATTCAAGCAGAGCGTGGATTGTGATGGTTTACCACACCGTCTTTTCAAGAGAGCGAACACTGGTTTCTTAGAAGCCCTTATCAGATTGAGTTCACCACCCACATAGGATGCTTGCTGGTGTTTACGTTCTGTGACTTTGCAGGCTTTAAGGGTCCAGCCTTTAAGGGTTTTTTCTTTGACACCATAAATAAGAGCGGCTAGACTGGCAGGATTTATGATAAATAGAAAAAAAAAGCTTGCCTTCCATTTCATTATCTCCGAGGGTGTGGGTACAATGAAAGGATGTGGGAGGCGGGATCCATTCAGCGTAATTACACATCACCTCGGCCTGTTTTTTCACCAATCTCCCTGTCAGACTCTTCTAAAAGGATGGGAACATTGGAAAGAGAAGCGTCCAGTGAGTTAAATATAGACAAGAGTTGATGTGTCATCTCGTTGCTCATACGCGATGCCACACAAGGCGAGCCGGTCGGTAGACTGGCCTTGGCAGATTGCAGCACCCATGCGGGGTTGCTTTATCTACATTGTTCCACCCACACAAAAACATCTTTTTTTAAAGAGCCAGCTCAGATGTTTGTTCCTACAACACAGTGCGAAGGCTGTTTTCGTCACTGCTTCCACATTTACGCTGCCAGGCACTTTGTAGTGTGGCCATTTATGGGCTATAGTCATCTCTGCCAATCTGAGACTAGTGTAAAGCCTGTAGATGGTGGAACAGAAGGGATCACTGCTGGCTTGGTTCAGCACTGAATTACGGTAGAGTTAGGATCCATTAGAGGGATAATTAATAAGTGCATTAAAACTCACAGCATCATACAAGTAGATGTAGAAAACTGTGATTTACCCAGTGTTTTTGCATTTGACTGCATAAGTACGTGTATTTGTACTCCTGTCATGAGTTCAACATCCCTTGAAAGTTGCATCCTCTCCCTCCTTCCTTTCCTGGCTCCACCTTGCTGGTCCTTGCATACTCAGAAAGAGAGAGATCTAGAGTAGAACAGAGTGACCCGGGGACAAGCCGTCCTGTACCACACCATTGTTCCAAATCCAGATACGGACACCCAGTTTTCCCCCCCTCTTGTCTTCATTTCAGCTCAACACAGTGAGGTTCTTTGCTTAGTAGTTGAACAGTATAAGACTAATTCAAAATTCCATTAGCAAAGAAAGAGGGCAAACATTTAAATGGTAATCCATCTTTTTAGAAGCACACTTAAAGTCAGAATCGTTTATAATCCCCCCTCTCTCTTTTTTTTGTTGCCAGCAGTTAATCCAATTCCCTTTAAGCACATGCCCCACTGTAAGCTATACTTTATGTATCAGGCATAGTTGTTCACCCAAGTGTGTCAGGCTTATGGCATGATTCTTCGACAACAACAGCAGCTTTTGGTTCCATCTCAGCAGTCTTCCAAGTCATGTAAATTGGATTTAGCTCCTTTTATGGTACAGGTTGACAAATACTTATCATCCTTGTATATCTGTGGCCGGCCTGACGATTTGCCTTGCATGGCTACCACAGGTCCTGATTACCTCTGTGGCGTGTAGACTCTCATTGACAGCGGAGACCACAGGACGCGGATAAAAGGGACCGAAAGAAGTGTGGGGCGGCAAACCCACATTCCAGATCCTCACACTGTGCAGCAGGACTAGATAACGCTGTGGCTCTTCTGCTTTGATCCTGTTCCTCCTAACAGCCCTGTTTTATTTCTTAATTTCACGACTAAATCACACTGCCAGATGTTGGTTAATCGTTGTTTATTAAAGAGTTTCACGGTAAAATACTAAGGTATTCCATGGCTCTTATGTGTTATGTGTGTTGTTTTTCAACCAGTAGTTTCTACTTCCAGTTTGGATGACTCTGTTTATGGATAATCAATACAACAGGCTTTTACTTCCTACGATAAATCCACAAGAACTGTCGCTTATCATTTACCCGCCTCCTCCACAGTGACCTATTCATTTTAATATTGTTTATCAAATCCATGCTTCTAAAAAACACAGCATAATTGTTCCCCAGTGTCCAAGCAGTGGAACCAATAATAGCTTTTCCGCTTGATTTTTTACATTAAGAGTTTCGCAAACAGCCTTTTAGTGTGTGCCTGTGGAATATTAAAAAGGTTCAGTCTTGCCCATTAGAGTTGGGAGCTGGTTGACCTTGGGTGGCTTGTAGGGAGTCTCCATGAGTTCTGCCCACTTGGGATTCGATGTGAGCTCTGTGGTTCGTGAAATAGTAAATAAAAATAGTCACACCTCATTTGCAGTCAACTTTGGATTGTTGTGAGTGTTCTCAACTGTCAATGTTTTTATTTTTGTATGTGGGTTTCTTTCTCAGTCTGCAAAGTGTAAGAGCCACTCATATATACAGTCAGCTTTGAGAGCTTACTTGTCTTATTTCTTTAAAATATCCTTTTGAAGGTAACTTGTCCAGTTACAGGCCTTGTGTAAGACCTTTAGTTGCTCCAGGCAGTAAAACAAATTTTTCACAGGGTACATAACTGTTGAGATTGAAGCCCTCTGTGTATTTCCATTCTTTTTAACCAGTGGGCTATAAAGACAGTACTGCTGTTCCAGCCTTGGGGTTGGATGAGCAGTCAAACATGAATAAGCCTGGGCTACATTTTGTCTGTCTGTTCTGATGCTCCACGAAGAAAGCCAAACTGCTTCACTAGTCTTTCTGTTGTCTGCTCAGTGAGTGCAGCCTATTCTCGGGCTCTGCTGCAGGGCCTAAAACTGGGACCATTTGTTCCGACCAACGTGACGACTTGTAAGCTTTTCTTGGCTTAGAAAAGCAGCTTACAGGACTTGATCTTTGGTCTGGTGAGCCTAGCTAGAGCACGCACACGTGCTAGAGCAAGCAGCTCCCCTCCCATCACAGGCCACCCGGTACTAGTCCTTAATAGCCTAGCTTGGCTTTGGCTTTTGCTTAGTTAACATCGGTGTCAGAGGATGAGGAAGTAATTGACAGGCTGATGGGGATGAGCAGAGAGATAGGTCAAACACACCTGACTAAGGGAAGCCTTGAACAACACGCAAGCCTGATCCCAAACCCCCACTGTGTCAGTGTGTACACTGTGGGCATTTGAGACTTGTAATTAACCGAGTGACACATGAGCCAATATTAGGGTGGGACCAATGGTCAGATGGTGACAAATTGTGGTTGTGGCTAAAGTCTGCCTCATTGACAAATAGTGTGGTAGTTACCCAGCTGTAACGAGGAGGTCATATTCTCTTCTTAAAGGGGAAGACCGCCGAAATAAAGAATTTCAATATGTTATGCAGGGCCTTGGAAAGTTTAATCAATATATGTGAACATTAAATAGTCCCTTTCGAAGCCTGAAACCAGAGAGACTATTGGACAATGAATGGGTAACAGATTTTCTGGACCAAAAGAGTGTTTCCTTTTTTCTAGCAAATCTTTGTTTTCCAATTCTAGTGTCTCAGTCCTCAAAAATAATGTGCCCCCATATACTCAGAACATTCCCTTGGTGCTTTCAGTTTCATCTTAAACATCTTTCCCAATGAATTGACTATGGAGCCTAGCAAGACTTCACGGTTGTAGTTTGCTTCCAAGATGTTGAAAGTACCTTTACACTTCTGTACTTTGCACAGCAGGAAAGCACCTGCTCTCCACAGCCAATTCAAGATACTTTCATTTTCACTTGTGGGTGTCTAGCACTGAGTTGAGCAAAGTGAATTAGCTTGCATTGATTTACTTTTCAATCGCACGATCCTGCTGGGTTGCCAGGTATCTGACAGTATAAAGTTTTTATGGATTGGCACACTCAAGGAGCCACTCACACTCCTTTTTTTAAGAGAGGCACTTTAACGCCTTCAACCTCAACAAACTGAAAAATCCATTGGTCTAAAAGGAGGCAGTGTGGATCAGACACATGCGCCAAAGGGGACAGAGCAACCCAAAGGATAAAAGAAAGTCGGTATTTTTCTGTTAAAAAAAGCTCTCAACTCTTTCTGTAGCTTGTTGTCGTGAAAACGTCTTGGTAAAGATAATTGGGAATGGTATATTGGATAAATTAGCATATTATCGACTAGCATCATTGTATCTCTTATTTGTTATTCTCTACAATCAACCAATTTTATGTTTTATTTTCCGTTACAAAAAATACTGTCACTTAAGATTGATATCAGCTACGAGAAGTGCTTATTGAGGCAGACTTGTACGGCTCTGTGGACTTGCTGTCAGATGATAGAAGACAGTGTGAAATTAAAGGTCACCTTTGTTTTGCCTCACATCGTCGTATGCCATCCCCTCACAGATGTTCTATAGACAGGTGTAAAGATGGCCCCACACAGGGGATCGAATGTCGACACTTGAAAGCCGACCCATCACTCCAGACTTGTCTCTCTCTTCTGACCCTTGACTCTTGACGCCTTCTTATTTCCCCCTCACCCTGCAAAAGTGTGTCTGCACACGTTCATAGGAGGGACCGTGCAACCAAAGAAGTCCAGGGTTGTTTTCATTCTCAGTGATGTGTTTGTCAGTGTTCAAATTGATC